AAAGGAGTCTCAGTTTGCTCATATGTTAAATGAGAAAATTGGATTAAAATGTCCCTGAGGGCTCTTCATCTAAGATTGTTTCTCCAGGATAAGCATCCCCAATTTCTACTTGCCGTTTGATGCCCAATGGCCAGAGCAACAAAAAATTAGGATTCTTGCCCTGTGTATCTTGGGATTCTGAGATAGGATGGAATAAAACACTATTAGTGGGTTAGACCAGCCCATCCACAAATCATATTTTCCTTTTTGTCACAGTTGAAAGGGACCTTCAAGGTCACCAAATTAAAGAATCAACTAAGAATTTTCAAAGATACTTCCTTTTAGAGGGATGTCTTTCTTGGGTATTGCCTTGAGTGGTTGACATCCTTGTCAGATCTGACACGATTGACTGATGCTATGTTTCTGTCATTACATGGTTGTGCAGACCATAGAGACTGGGCTTTGAAGCCAGTGTGATGAATGAAAAACCTGAGAGACAGAGTTTCTGGGTAATTACTAATCAATTTCTTTATTAAGCTAGCTAATAATCAATAAATTGATGGTTAGTGGTTTCTCTTGGTAACCAAAGACAAAACTATGGAGAGTCTAAAAGTCTTAATATACTTTTGGAAAAGGGGATGCCCCAAACAAGTAAAAATCAATCCTGATTGGTGGATATTTTAATGAAGAGGTGGGCTTAAAATCTTCAGCTCCTCCTGCTGAGAACTTGACTTGATCAGCTGCCTCCAGAATTTGGAGAGAGCAATCCATCTCTACCCAGACCTCTTTGGTTGATTTTCTCCTTCATGAGCTGGGTCACTCTAAATTCCAATGGAGTGGTGCAAGGGCATGGTCCCCTTGCTTCGGGAGAGGAATTCACTTAGATTAGATTTTGTTTACACTTTAAACAGAAGTTAGATCTCTTAGTTGGGTGAGGTCCCACCCAAGATAAAGGAACATGTTCCCAGAGGATTATGGGTAATCTCATCAATGAGAGCCTTAAATAAGGAAATAAGGAGATGGGGAGCCCTATTCCTAATTTAATAATTAGTTGTTAACATAACAGCAAAATAATAATTTTTCGAACCTTGGAAACATACTGTCTGTGACCCTGGGCAAAGTCACAGAATTCAGTAATCTGATAACTACCTAACACTTTAAGTTTTAAAGTGCTGGCCTACATTGGTAGAGGGAGTTTTCCACCTAAGACTTCCCTCAACCAAAGAAATCACAGATCCAGTCCCTGTCCTGACTCCATTTTCCAAGTTAATGCATTTTCTCTGGCTATCTCCCAGGCTTGAAATTCTCTCCCTCCCCACTTCTGTCCCCTGGTTTCATTGGTTTCTTTTAAGTTTTGGCTAAAATTCTACTTTCTTCCGGAAGCTTTTCCTAGTCCTCTCTAATGTCAGTACCTTCTATCTGTGGAATATTTTCAATTTTTCCTTTATGTAAGTTTTTTTCTGCCTTTTTTTGTATCCCCAACATTTAGCCCACTCTCTGCCACATAGTAGGTGCTTAATAAATGCTTGTTGACTTCTGACTGACGACCTTAACAAGTGGTTATTCACCTATCACTTGGACACTTCTAGTGAGGAGAAAACTCAGTACCTTCCATGCTAGATCACTCCCTTTTTCCATAGATCTAGTTATCAGAAGGTTCCATGGTGATTTCCATTTCATAATCCTTGCTCTGCCTTCTGGGGCCAAATACAAGTCCAATCTTTCTTCCGCATGGCAGCCTTTCAAATACTGGAAGACAGTTATAATCATTTTCCCCAAAAAACTTTTACTATCCAAGCTTACCATCCACATTTCCTTTAATCAGTCCTTGTCTTGGCATGATCTTCATGCCATTCACCCCCCTGCTTACCCGCTGCTGAATGCTCTCTTGCTAAACAGTGTCCTGCTTAAATCATCCTAAAGACTTTTCCCCCCTAAAGTTTTTGGCTGCCAAATATTTTTATCTGAAACTTTTGAGCTATTGACTCTCTACAATCCATCATAACTTTTAATATAAATGCCAAGATCAGAAGATGGGCACACAGAAAAATTTTTACTCTTTCAGATACCTCAAGGAAGTTTCTGTCCCACTTTCCTTTTCACTCTGTATAGTAATTTAGAAAATGTCTAACTTGTATTTTTTGACTGATTTATTTTCTCTTCTGGCATATTATTCACAGAATTGCCCCCAGGATTCCAACAGCCATTTTTCTACAGATTTATAGGATGTGATCACAGATTCTAATCTGTTTTTAATAACTCCTGTTCATTTATTGCACTTTGCCTATAGAAACAAGCTGGCATGAGTTGCTTTGGGTTTTTTTTTTTCATTTTTTTAAAAAGATGTTGATGAATAAGTATTACATGATTACTCTGTGTGAGATGCTGAGCAGTACGTATACAAGTAGAACCTTAGGATCACAGACTTGAAGATGGACCTTAGGGGTCACACCTTGTCCAGCTTCATTATTTTACATTGGGGAAACTGAGGTTTAGTGGGGTGAAGGGACCTGCCCAAGATCACACAGGTAGGGTCAGGATTGGATCTCCAGTGATCTTGGAACAAGTCACAACTCTTGGGACATCTTCATTTTATCAGTGGGGAAACTGAGGTCCAGCAAGGTTAATTTCCCTGGGCCTCATTTACCTCATCTATAAAATAAGAGTGTTGGATTTGATAGTCCCTGAGGTACTTTTCAGCCCTAAATCTATAACCCTACGGTCTGACTATACGCCAGATTCCAACTCTCTACTCTCCAGGTCCAGCCTTCCTTCCTCTACCATGACAGCTACCTCTGAAGGAGTCAGAACTAACAAAGTATTTTTTTTTCTGATGCTATTTTTGCCACTAGCTATCCACAGGAAAACATTGCGATCATTGTTTTAAAAACTTTAAAAGGATTTTTTCTTTTTAAGAGCCCGTGTGTTAATATTGGCCCAAGAGTCCATGGTGTTGTAGGCAAAGAAATGTTCTCATGAAGTTTCTTTTGGCCTCAGGGAACACCCCACAACTTTTATGGAGGAAGTTCTGAGACCTAGGATTAAGCAAAGGGCGAGCTCATTGTGAATAAGCCCTTGTTACAGAAAAGTCCCTGTGAGACAGTCAAATTGGAAGGCCTAGCATTTTTGCACAGCAATGGAGTGCCCTGCTTCTTGACTCAGCCCCATTGATCCTGTGGTCTGCTTTCGAAAGGGGGCCAATTAGGTGAGAGAATGGGAGAGGGCTAGTAGCACATCTGAATGTGTTCAATGTGAGAATTGCAATAAAAAAGTAAATTTTGTAAGGAGAATTGAATGAATGGATACTTCTCCTCTCTATGGAAGGCCTGTTTTCCAGTCTTAAGTCCTTGAAAAACATATTTAAATGTTTACAGATGTCTTTGTTTTTTACAGCACCTTCATTGTCAAAAGAATCCTCTGCCCTCTCTCACCCAGAGGGCCATCCCTTATACCAAGAAATAAAGAAGAAACTTGGGGGACCAGGAAGGGGAGAAGCAGTTCATTAAACCTAATCAACCAAATCTGACAGTAAATGCAGTTTTCCACACCTACAACTTCCCACCCCCACCCCAATCTCTGCACAGAAGGCAAAGGGATGCATGCTCATACCTCTTCTTTGGGGTGAAGTTGGTCATGATGATCAAATAGTTCAGAAGAGCTTGGTCACTGTTGTTTCCATTTACAGTATTGTATTCCTTGTGTATATGGTTTTCTTGACTCAGTTTACTTCACTTTGCTTTAAATCTTCCCTGTCTTCTTCATAATCATCATTTCTTACAGTATCATAATATAATGTTACATTGAATTCATGTATCATAATCCACTTAGTCATTGCCCAATCAACGAGCACCTACTTTGTTTCTACTTTCAGTCTTTCATCCCCTATTACAGCATCCCCTCCCCCAACTACCTTATATTCATCCTGCATGGACTCATTTGTGTAAACTTTTGTTCCTACATTATTAGAATGTAAGCAAGGAGGTAGGGAGAGGCAAAATATATTCTACCCCCGTTATTTATTATATAACATGACCTCCTAATGGTATAGATACCTAAGGAATTATCAATGAAGAACACAAGGCAGCACACAAGTAAGTGATGTAAATGATGTGTCAGAGTTACTAAGTGTGTAAAACTACTCTTACTTTTATGACTTCAGTTCAAATGGAAATACTAGATAGAAGCTACAGAGAGAGAGCTTTAAGCAGAATACAAGGACCACACATCCTACTGTTCCAAAGTTCCCCCAAAATGGAATGGGATGCCTTGAGTGTCTTTCTGTTAATTATTAGCCATCCAGTATATGGTATGTATAGATTATTTCTTCTTTATCTTATGTTGAAAGACTGGGGTAGAAGTGGAGAGAGAGACAGAGACAGAGAGAGACAAAGAGATGTAGGCAGAGACAAAGAGATAGAGACAGAGAGATGAGACAGAGACAGAGATAAAGAGATGAAGACAGAGTCAAAGAATTGTAGACAGAAACAGAGATAAAGCAATGGAGACAGAGACGGAGACAGAGATGGAAACAGAAAGATGGAGACAGAGACAGAGAGACAGAGACAAAAAGATAGAGACAGACAGAGAGAGAAGGGGGTGCTATAAATAGAGGCAGGTTTTTCCTACTCTCTATCCATCCCCCCCACCCAAATATGCTCTCTGTATGTATATCTATATCTGTGGTCTCTCTGCCCATTCTTTCTGTATAATTTTATCCTTATTAGACAAAAGATTATAGTATCCTAGGGTCAATGATCTAGACTTATAAGACACTTCAGAAGCTAGTCTCATCTTATGATTTACAGATGAGGAAACTGAGTCACAGGGTGGTTAAGTGGTTTGCCCAAAGACACAGGAAGTAAGCAAGTAAATGCTAGTAAATGCTCTTTCCACTGTACTATTTTGAAAACTTTTGTAAACTGAGGAATATAATTTGAGTTAACTTTCAATATCTTCTTACTTTGAAATAAATACTTCATTTGTTTTTGATTAAATTGAGTTAACTTTCCTTTTTGGTCAAGGAACAGAAGCTTGGGCTAGAACCTGAAGAATGAGGAATTGTTTGGTAGGGAGAAAGAGTATTCCAGAGAGAGTCCCAGAAGTTTTCAAGGTGAGAATGTCAACTTTTCTTTTCTCTTTTGGGTTGGGAGTGGGGTGGGTGAGAGGATTGGTTGGGCACTAGAGCAGTTCTTAGACTAATCTGGACTGTGATTAGAGATGGTGGAGAGTCTTAAGTGTTTAAAGTCTAGGTTAAATTCTAGAGTTTTGACTTTAGATGATGGATTCTAGGATAATAGCAATAGGAATAACTCCAAAAGCTAGTATTTATATGGTATTTTAAGATTGGCAAATCTCTTTACACATAATATCTCATTTGATTCTTACAACAACCCCTGTAAGTGGGTGCTCAGATGAGGAAACTGAGGCAGATAGAGATAAAGTGATTTACCCAGGCTTCCACAGCTAGTAAGTATCTGAGACCACATTTGAACTCAGCTAGGTGGCCCAGTGGATAGAGCCCTGGGTCTGGAGTCAGGAAGACTTATATTCCTGGATTCAAATCTGGCCTCAGACACTTACTAGCTGCATGACCCTAGGCAATTCACTTGACCCTGTTTTCCTCAATTTCCTCATCTGAAGAAGGAAGTGGCAAACCACTCCAGTATCTCCACCCAGAAAACCCCACAAAGAGTTGGACACAACTGAAAACGACTAAACAACTCTTCCTGAATGTGGGCTCGATATGCCATTCACTGGGCCACCTAGCCAGAAGAGACCTTACCTGACGTCTCCTCCAAATCCCTCATTTGCCCAATGTGGAAACTGAGCCCAGAGAAGTTGGAAAATGAAGGGGACTGGAATAAGATTTCTCAAGTCTTGTCTAACTCAAAAACTCTGAGCCCATAAATGTTAACAGTTAAATTTACAACAGTCGAATAGAGCCTAGATCATGGTTCTACATTAAAAGAAACATCAGAAGGTCATCTAGTCAAAGCCCCTTCATTTTTCAGATGAGAAAACTGAGGAAACGGAGATTAAGTAATTTATCCAAGGTCACCCAGCGCCAAAATGTCTGAGGCCAAATTTGAACTCAGGAAGACACAGCTTCCTGACTCCAGGCCTACCACTCTATGCACTATGGCGCCACCTAGCTGCCCCTAGAGCAGGTAAATTTCTTCTTTAGTTGATTAGTCACATTTAACTCTTCGTGACCCCCATTTGAGGGTTTCTTGGGAAAAATCCTGGCCTGGTATGCCATTTCCTTCCCCAGCTCATTTTACAGATAAGGAAACTGAGGCAAACAGTGTTAAGGGACTTGCCCAGGGTCGCACAGTAGGCCCTTAATAAATGTGTGTTAACTCGATTTGACGCAGATAGTAAGCTCCAGAAGCAAGATATGAATCCAAATGTTCCGACTCCAGGATTCAATTCTTTTCCTACTAAGTCAGATTGCTTCTTTCTGTGTTCTTTTTGGTGACTACAGGAAGAAAGGGCCTGACAATTTAGTCTTGGCTCACATGAGAAAAACAAGATTTATTTATTTTTCCTTTTAGCAATTTAAACTTTGACTTTAACAGATATTCCCAATTTCTATGTTGGACTCTCTATGTTTTGATCTTTGGCACCTTGAGTCTGAAACTTCAAAGGGTCCTGAGTAGATTGTTCTAGGAAGTTCATCTATTAAAAGCGCAATAGACCTGAAGTCAATTTTTCTTTTTCTTTCTTCCTTCCTTCCTTCCTTCCTTCCTTCCTTCCTTCCTTCCTTCCTTCCTTCCTTCCTTCCTTCCTTCCTTCCTTCCTTCCTTCTTTCCTTCCTTCCTTCTTTCCTTCCTTCCTTTCTTTCTTTCTTTCTTTCTTTCTTTCTTTCTTTCTTTCTTTCTTTCTTTCTTTCTTTCTTTCTTTCTTTCTTTCTTTCTTTCTTTCTTTCTTTCTTTCTTTCTTTCTTTCTTTCATCAACAAATGTGCAATGGGGCCTTTTGGAAAGGCAATAAACTAGATTCAAAGGGGACTGTTTTTTGCTTGCTTGGAAAAATTTATTTTCCCTCAGGGCCCCTTCAGAAACTCTTCACACACAAAAACACCAAGCTTATCTACATTCAGCAATGAGAATACAAGAAGTTTTATTCATTTAGGGATATTTTAAAATGCTAAAAAAAAGCATTTTCCATTAATTATAATTTTTAAGGAGCTAATGACAATAGCTTCAGTGATAATTAATGGATCTGTATTTATATAGCAAACTGGTACATAGTAGCTAGTACAATTTTATACTTCAAACTGACTGTTTCCTATAAATATGTAAATTTGGTAATTATCACAGGAACTATTCATTATCTGCATTTGAAATTTAAATAAATAGAAATGCTATTTACTCCTTCAAAAACTAAATAAGAAAAGCAACATAACAGTGAGTAGTCTTGAATGAAGTCCATTTCTTTCTTTTAGTGCAAAGTCTAGTTTTAAAGAAGTATCCTTTAATTTCAGCGCTGTTGATACTCCACAGATAGGTATGGCAGAATTGGATAGGTATTGGGAATTAGATGATCAAATTTCAAATTTCTATGCACTAGGAAATAAATAAATAAATCGACACAGACTAAAAATAAAATTGTCCCAAACTTTTGCATATATCTGAAATAAACCTAGATTTTGAAATTTATAACAGAGATCATCTTACAACATATTTTGAAACTTACAACAGACATATAGGGGCAAGAGAAAGAGAGCTGGAAGTCAGACGATAGATAGATATAAAAATAGATAGATGATGAATAGAAGGATGCATGGGTGGGTAGGTAGATTATAGATGGATAGATAGATAGGCAGATTGATGGATGGATAGATGGATGGAGAAATGAATGGAATGGATAGATAGGTAAATTAGATGGAGATAGATAAACAGATGGATAGGTGAATGGATAAGTAGATGGATGGATGGGTAAGTGGATAGATGATAGATAGACAGATACAGATAATATATAGATGAATGAATAAATAGGTGGGTAGATAGATTACATAAAAATAGAGATATAGACAATGGATATATAAATGAATAGATGAGAAGGGTAGAGGTGTCTCTAGTGTGAGGAGGACTGTGCAGAGTTCAGAGTTCATTCCCCATTAGGAGCATCTTATGCAACAATTTAATCACTGGTGTAGAGGCCTGACACCCCTTCCCCCCTCTTCTATCTATCTATCTATCATCTCTTTCCATCAATCTAGATAGAGATATAGGTATGTATACATATGTAATAATATGCATACATATATATCAATTATAAAATTAGGGAATGTGATTATACCCACATAGTCTTCTTTTGTGCATATATTCTTATATACATACATATATGAAAACAAAATATATTTTGTTCACATTTTATATGCATATGTTAATATCATGTGTGTATATATGTGTGTTTATATGTGTGAGTGTATGTCTGTGCATACACACACATATACATACACACATATGTAGGGTGGCTAGGTAGTGCAGTGAATAGAGCACCAGGACTAGAATTAGGAAGATTTGAGTTCAAATTTAGCCTCAGACATTTACTTGCTGTGTGACCCTAGGCAAGTCACTTAATCCTGTTTGCCTCACTTTCCTAATCTGTAAAGTGAGCTAGAGAAGGAAATTGCAAACCACTCCAGTATCTTTGTCAAGAAACTCCCAAATGAGGTCATGAAGAGTCAGGCACAACTGAAAAAAAAACCAAATAAAAACAACCTCTGTCTGTCTGTCTATCTATCTATCTATCTATCTATCTATCTATCTATCTATCTATCTATCTATCTTTCTATCTATCTATCTTTCTATCTATCTAATAATCTATCTATCCTTCTATCCATCCATCCATCCATCCATCCATCTATCCATCCATCCATCCATCTATCCATCCATCCATCCATCTACCCATCCATCTACCTATCTATCCATCCATCTATCCATCTGTCTTTCTTTCTATCTATCTATCTATCTATCTATCTATCTATCTATCTATCTATCTATCCATCCATCCATCCATCCATCCATCCACCCATCCATGTACCTATCTATCCATCCATCTATCCATCTGTCTTTCTATCTATTTATCTATCTATCTATCTATCTATCTATCTATCTATCTATCTATCTATCCATCCATCCTTCTACCCATCCATCCATCCATCCATCTATCCAACCATCTATCCATCCATCTATCATCTATCTATTGTGTGTATATATACATATATACATACATATACATACATACCAACACACACACACACACACACACACACACACACACACACACACACACACATACAAATGCTATGGAGGTATAACCATATCCCCAAATTTACCGCAGAGGTAGCTGAGATACAGTGAGGTCCACTAATCTGGCCCAGATTACCATCTAATAACTTCATCTTCCTGGGCCTCAGTTGATTCTAAAGGCAGACCCTGTAATTTAATCCAGGCATTTTGCCACATAATCCAGGCCTCCTCCAGCTATATGGGACTCCCTGGGGTGGGAACCCAAGCATCATTTATATCCCTGGTTTTCTGGGGAAATGTGTTCTCAGTTGCAGAGGATTGACTTGCAAATAAACTTTTGGAAAATAAACCATTAATAAATTAGGTACTGTCAGTAAAAGAGATAAAATCACATTTGTCATTCATGTGCCTCTCTGCCCAAGCTGATTTTATCTGGGACTGAATAATGTACTCAACATTGTGTGAAGCCTTTTCCCATAGATTTCTAATTCATGGATACAAAATTTTGGAATAGCTTTCAAAGTCATGAATTTAACAAAATTTCAGGTTTCTCTATCACCCCAAAGCATCACAGAGCTACAGTTGGGGACTTTGTGTATTTTCTTGTGTATTTTGCAGCTTTGTGTATTTTCTTGAGCTGTTGTCAACTCAACAGAGTGGTTGTTGAATAGGGATCGGCAGTTGGGGGCATAAGGACATATGAAAAGGATTGGACATAGGAAAACTGAGCTTATGTCTTTGTCCACATGAAGCTAAAATAAACATTTGGTTTGGTCAATTCACATAAATAAATGTTTAATTCAGTGAAAAAATGCATAAAATTATCTTGGTGTTAGAGAAAATGGCTTTTTAATCAACCAAGGGTTTTTTAAAAAATTCCTAGCCAGTTGTTGAGTGTTATCAACATAACCCTCAATAGAAGTTCAGCTGCTAGAAAATTGGGAAAGAATTTTTTACAACCAGTGTCTTTGATAAAGGCCTCATTTCTAAAATATATAGAGAACTAAGTCAAATTTGTAAGAATACAAGTCATTCCACAATTGATAAATAGTCAAAGGATATGAACAGGCAGTTTTCAGATGAAGAAATTAAAGCTCTCTATACTCATATGAAAAAATGCTCTAAATCAGTATTGATTAGAGAAATGCAAATTAAAACAATTCTGAGGTACCACATCACACTTATCAGATTGGCTAACATGACAAAACAGGAAAATTATAAATATTGGAGAAGATGTGGCAAAATTAGGACATTGTTGGTGGAGTTGTGAACTGATCTCCATTTTGGAGAGCAATTTGGAACTATGCCTAAAGGGCTATAAAAATGTGCATACCCTTTGATCCAGCAATAGCACTTCTAGGGCTCTATCCAAAAGAGATCATACAAATGGGAAGGACCCACATGTACACAAATGTTATAGCAGCTCTTTCTGTGGTGGCAAAGAATTGGAAATTGAGGGGATACCCATCAATTGGGGAATGGCAGAACAAGTTGTGGTATATAAATGTAATGGAATACTCTTGTGCTATATGAAATGATGAGCAAATGGACTTCAGAAAAATCTGGAAAGACTTGTATGGACTGATGCTAAGTGCGGTGAGAACGTTGTACACAGTAACAGCCACGTTATGCAATGACTAACCTTGATAGACTCAGCCCTTCTCAGCAATGCAAGGATCTAAGATATTTCCAAAAGTCTCATGATGGAAAATGCTATCCACATCCAGAGAAAGAACTATGGAGTTAGAATGCAGGTAGAAGCATACTATTTACTTTTTTTCCTTCTTTTTTGTTTTCTTGCTTCTTTCTTGTGGGTCCTCTGATTGGTTCTAATTCTTCTTTACAACATGACTAATGTGCAAATATATTGAATAGGGATGTATACGTGGAGCCTATATCAGATTGCCTATCATCTTGGGGAAGGAGATGGGGAGGGAGGGGGAGAATTTAAAACTCAAAAGCTTATGGAAGTGATTGTTGAAAACTAAAAATAAATCAATTAAATAAAAAAAAGTTCAGTTGCTAGACTGTATGTAGAATGCTCGATTGTATGCTCCTTGAGGGCAGGGAATAGTTTTTGTCTTTGTATCTCTAGGCCTAGCATAGTGTCTCACTCAAAGCAGGTGATGACTAAATGGTTACTAAATAGAATCTAATTGAAGTAACATGACATACTTATTAATTCTAGATATACTATTTTTGATGCATATTATTTCATTTTAGCCACACCATATTCCTGTGATATAGATATTAATCTCCTGAATGACAGCACATACATATATGTGTGTATACACACACACACACACACACACACACACACACACACGAAAACTAACACCCCCAAATTCAATCAACTTCTCTTTTTAACACTCTATGACACCAGGTAACCAGAGCAATTGATCTTTACTGAACTGACCAAATCTCCCAACATGAACTCTGCAATCTGAAGTCATCCTTCTATTCCTCCCTGGTAGAAAGAATGTCAATACCTTCTTCTATTCTACAGCTTCTGCCCTGTCACAGGAGCTGGGATCACACTTCTCTGGAGGTCTTTTTTCCTTTATTCCCCAATCAGCTACAGTCACCACCACCATCTTGATTCTGCAGGGTCCATTGCTGCCTGTACAATCCAACACCAGTTCTAAAGCCAGGAGCACATGGAAATAAATGTGTCTCTATGCTACAGTTAGCTCACATCCTTAATGACAATGACTTGACTCGAGTACTGGACTCAATTCCTTATGAGTTCTCAACTGGTTTCCTGCTAATTCCTTTGCTATTATTGTGATTTACTCTTTTCTTTTTCCTGACCGTAGTTACAACTTGTTTGATGTAGGGCTAACTGATTTCTGAACCTAGACCTGAATCCAAGAACTGATTGCTCCTTGGCTTGTTTCTTTGACCACCTGAATTCTGGACCCTTTGCTTTTTCAGTTTGTATTGCTTCTGGGTCCATTAATACACTAATCATCTAAGGTCTTGACTATGCCTATATCTCTTAGGGGTGGTGCTAACTCACTGTTTCAGCCTTGTTGACACCTATACCCTAGCATAAGAGCCAAGGAAAAAGGGTCACAGATTTAGAGCTGGAAGGTGTCATTGAACCTGATCCCTCCCCATTTTACAGACAAGGAAGCTGAGGCCCAGAGAATGTAAGTGACTTGCTCAGGATCATACAAAATGTTTGAGGTAGGATTTGAACCAGGTCCTCCTGGCTCCATGTTCAATGTCCTATCCATTGTTCCAAACCTTGAGAAGCTCTCCTATTCCTCAACCACTGCCCTTTCCAATTCAATTCAATTTAACTCACTTGGGTCAAATAGTTATTCAACACTTACTGTGGCACTCTAGGTAGTAAGATTTAAAAGAGTACCATCCCAGTCCAAGAGGGGCTTAAATTCTGATAAGGTAGACTTGGACAAACAAGTGGTTTATGGGGAGGAACGTGATAAGGGTAAAGGAGATATTTAAACAAAAAAAAATGCAGACAGAAAGATAATTTTCAGCTGGGGGACAAAGGGAAGGCTTCATGGAAGATGAAAAGGTGCCTGAGTTGGGATTTGAAGGAAGAAAGGGATTTTAATATACAGAAATGTGAAGTGAGCATGTTCCAGGCATGCTGTCTAGCCTAAATGATTGCTGAGGCAAGAGTGAGCAGAATGAGCTCTCGGAATACCTAGGTACCCATTTCGGCTAGAACACTGAGTTCTGGAAGATTAGTATTAAAAAAAAAAAAGCCTGGAAAGGCAAGTTGTAACCAGAGTGCTGATGGATTTAAGTTCTGGGCTAAGAATTGTATTTTACATTGTAGGTAACAGGAAACTACTGAAGATTTTTTTTAAAGCATGAATGTGACATGGGCCGTGACTCTAAACAAAACCATAACCTCCCTGAACCTCAGTTTCTCCATTTGTAAAATGACAGGATTGGGAAGTCTTTTCCATCCAGAAATCTACAATCCCTGGATCTATGCTTATATTTTATTTTGGAAATAAAATACCTAAAGAATAGAAGTAAATTTGTCATGAGTAGTTTTTTGGTCCAAATTATCCAGAAGACATCTTAAATCACTGCTCAGAAATTCTCTGCTCAATTCTCTGTCCGGTCTCATAAAGATCTGTAAAGGATAACTTAACAAAAAATAATAAAGTGAAGGATTTTTTTCTCCATAAAAGATGCATGATAACTGTCTGTCCTCACTGTCTCACTGGGTGTTTTGAGGCTCAGATAAGAAGGTGAACATGAAAGCCTTTAAAAACATGAACCGTTTTACCAGTGTGAGAGATTTTTATAAGTTACCACAATCCTGAAGTACACAGGCACACTGAGTTAGAAGGGGCAAACTAGGACCCAAGGGAAGGCACCAAAAAGTGCTTTCTCCAATGTTCTAAGGCATCAAGCTAGTGATTTGAGCTCAGCAGTGCAGTGCATTGTAGCCAAGAGGTCATGGATTGGAAGGGACAGATCACAAGGGGTTCCCACCTCCCCCATCATCAGTCCTTGCAATATAAAGGCAGGGCCAAGGACCAGACTGCTGAGAAGCCACTGAGATGTGTAGAAATCTGAAAGTCATTCGATGGTGAGAGTACAAGGCATACACCTAGCTTCAGGGGCCCCATCTCGACCTCCTGGGGTCCTGAATCTTAAAAAGCTTAACAGCTGGCTATTCCCATGGAGATCACTGTAGTTAGATATTTGATGAGAAGTCCCTTTGACCTGCCAGTAGGACAAAGGCACTCATAAATTAAAAAAAAATACTGAGAATGAATCTAGCGCACATTCTTTTTCAGATACTGTGTTTTTAATATGCATGTATACAGGCCGGTGAGTGTCCTCTTCATCCATTTAGTGGTAGAAGAACAAAATGAAGTTTCCATATATGTGTATATGAAGGTTCCACACAATATATAATGGTTTCATATGCACACACATACACACACATATATGTATGCATATATATATACACACACGCACACACACACAATGTATATGAAGCTTCAATATATTTGAATATATTTGTATACACACACATGCAGTTTCCATATTAATATATATACATATATTTAAAGTTTTCATATACACACATATACAAAATACATGAAATTTCAATATATGCATATGCATCCATATGATGGTTCCATATGTATTTGAAGGTTTTATATATACCCACATACATAAGATGAAGTATATGAAGTTTCAATATATACATATACATGCATGTGGTGGTTCCATATATATATTTAAAGGTTTCATATACACACATAACAAGGTTTCCAATGTATATGAAGGTTTCTTTATATATGAGGTTTCCATATATATGTGTATGCATATACATATAATATATGCACATTGATCCAGGCATGTATGCATGTAAGCATGTGTGTATACATATATAAATATATACATACAGGCATATATATGTATATGTATGTATATGCATCCTATCCCAGAGGCTAGCTAGAAAATCCCTCCCCCTATCTTTCATAAACCTTGGAAGACAAACAGCATCACTGTTGCCATGTAGTTATTCAAAACTACATATTCAAAAAGACCATGAAGTCCATGAAATTCACTTATTAGCTACTATGTAGCTGGCCTTTTGTTGTTTATGCCAACACCATGGCAGCTCAGGAAGAAGCGGGCTGCGCGGTTAGGTGTTTCTTTGTCTGATAGCTATGGTTCTGAACCAAGCTGGCGAATTTAAAATACAGTATTTCTTCGCTTTGTCCTACCTGAAAGACACCTATGGATCTGGTTTTCTTGGGTGATTTAAACACATTAGAGGGGCTATAACTGAAAGAGGAAAGAGCGGATTACATCTTCTGCTGTGTAATAGCATCCCCTAGAGGACCAATGCCTTAAAAAAAAAAAAAACAGCAGAAAACCTTCCTCCCCCGTGGGTGAGGAGCATATAAAGCTTAATGATTTTGATTCCCATCAAGTCCCTATTTATTCAGCTTTTCCGAAGGTTTTTCACAGCAGGCCGCCCATTCAGTCTGCGAGCCGGTTATTTTGCTCTCAAACCCAAGCCCAAAAGTTTCTTCGCATAGGCATAGGATGCCTTATTTTCTCCTAGCACAATTTGCAGGAAGCAAAATTTCTAAAAGTCAGCCAGCCAGGCAAAGTTACTGGCTTCTGCTAGGGAAACAAAACAAAAAACAAGGAAAGACAAGATGTGCATAAATAAACGTTGTCCTTGAATCGAGAGTCTCACCTTTGTTCTTTTTTGTTTTGTTTTGTTTTTGTTTTAGCGCAAGCGGAAGAGGTTAGTGGCTGATAGAATGTTGGGTCAAATATAAAATTTGTCAATCGTAGAACAATGTTGCATCAATCTGAACGTTATGTTTCTCTTTGCAAAAACGAGAAGGAGAAAATAAGGAGGGCAGATCGGCTATAGAAGAGACTCAAGGAAAAGGACTGCAAGTGATTCATTCTCCTCTCAGCAAGGGAAAAAAAGAAAGAAAAAAACGAACACTTCATTTGTTGTGTAGATTTCACCACCCTCTTTGTTTCTGCCTCAAACCTTTTCAGGGGGCTGAAATGCATTATTACCTTGTTAAACCCCATCCAAAATCATTCCTACAGCCCGAAGCTGTTTTGACGTGGGTTGAACATCTCACACACAAAAGAATCACTTTTGTTCCCAGACGTTCCCATTGGCTGGGCAGATTTCTCGGGCAGCCAATCAGAACCTGGTTGTTAGGTTTCTCCGTCTATTTTTAGCACACACACAAACACACATACACATGCACACACATGCACACATACACAAATCTACAGATACACCCTCGGAGGCTGTGCGTGGTAGGCTGGCAAGTGAGCTCCTCAAGTAGTAAAAAGCAAACTGCTTAATGTATTTTGGATAGGCACCGCGTGTTTGACATTTTCACTTTAATTAATTCCTTCATGCTTTCATTCCTTTTAATTTTATTTTTTATTTTTCGTACACAGGGAACTTCAGAGACAGATGTTACATCCTGCGAGTCTGAATTGATAATGTTTATTTACTTCCAGTCCCTGTGAGAAAGCAACCTGCGTCTTTGGGAACTGCACCTATATAATCTGTATTACCATATAAACAATACAGAACTATATATATATTTTTCTAAAAGCGATTTTTTAAAAAAATAGTTCAGCTTTGAATAAAAAAAAATTCACCAGCCTATAAACCACATTACCATATAAATAATGCATCATTGTTTTTTTTCCTGAAGCGATTCCCCCCCTCAAAGTTTTGCTTTGAATTAATTAAAAACTCGCCAGCCACTCACTCAGCAAGTAGAGGATCCCAAGCACTCAGCTTTCCTGCTTGCCCTTTAAATATGTAAATAGTGAACTAAACTGTACAAACCAGCTTGCACATGATATGTAGCAATTAAACTCATAAATATTCAACTTGCCTTTATGTATTGTGGCAAAGCATTCTTTGCAGAGTCTTCTTTCACTTCTGCAATGACTCAGGGGGCACAGGCAGTGTTCTCTCCAAATGCCATATGAATAGAAGCAAAGGCATGTAGGCAAAATGTTGGTAATTGTGCAGTATATTTCATCAGTGAAGACAGTCAAACTAGATCTAATCCAAGCCCCTAAACTTCTTTTCCCAACAGTGTAATTCAGACAAAATCAGGGAGATCAAGGTAACTCAAGGTTTGCTTGGTTGGGTTTTATTTTCCTTTTTCCCCTTATGAAAGAATTGTTTTAGAAGGAAAGGGGACCAAACAATGAAAATCAAAGTGGAAACAGGAAAAAATACATGACTGACTTAAAAGGATATTTTCTATCTTGTCATTTTAATCAAAGTTTATTAAAAATATTTTCTAAAATCTTCTTATCTTCATCAGGAGAGGGATTCATCCAAGACCTATGGCAATACAGCATGCTGTACTGTGTGCACTAGGTACTTACTACATGTTTATTGGCCCAATTAACTTGTTTTTATTTTGTCTATTTCTATACAAAGACCAGTTATATCTCCCACTTTTTCAAGGCAGGAACCATTTCTGATTTTGGTTTTATATCCCTGAAGGCCTTGCATAGTACCTGGAACATAATAAGTGCTTAATAAATGTCTATTGGTTGATTGATTGACTGAATAAATACACAACTTGGTGGATGAATTCCCAGATACTTAAAGCAAAGAAGATTTAAAATAAGACCTACTCTATAGATATTCACAATCTTGCTTTTCTGCAACTCTTTTAAGACTGTGAATTGCTGGCAATTCATGCATTGGTAAAGCAAAATTTTTACTGAGAGTTCCCTATACTAATGTAATCACAAGTCCAGTTTCCATCCCTTGTTTCTTTCGTGTATCAAGGATTTTAGATACCATGAAAGTTAAGAAACATTTAAGATCATAGGATTATAGAGCTAGAACTGAAAAGGAACCGTCTAGTTCACAATCCTTTTGTTTTACAGATAAGGAAATAGGGCACAGGGGTGTTATGACTTGCCTGAGGTCAGGAAGGCAGTAGGCACCCGGGTCCAACTTTGTTTTGGAGTCTTGATGCTTGCGTGAGAAACACAGGAGTACAGGGGAAGGTGCATTGGACTGGCTCAGCCTTGAGAAGCCCTGGGCATCCATCAACTTCAGCCCTGCAACAATTATTACATGTGCAAACACGGGCAAATAATTTAGCCCCATTTTCCTTACCCATTAAAAAAGAATAATCACACTTGGGCCAACTGACTTTTTAGTATTGTTGTAAGCAAAGCTCCTTGCAACCTTTAAAGAGCCATAGAAATGAAAACTAGTGTCATTTCTTGTGGGCACCCCAAGAGATGCCTGAAGGGCACCTAGCAGAAAATCCCTGGGAGGATCCCCTGAAATATCACAGAGCCCTTCCTTTTGCTTCATGGTGTGCTTAAGAGAAATGCTCTCCACGTTTCTGAGGAGGGATTTGGGACAATTAAATTACAGACAGTTTCTGAAAACGTCCCCTTTTTGTTTCCAACAGTAAAGTCAGTCAGTACACGCCAAGACAGGTTTTTAATACCGTAGGCAAGCAAGGACGCTCAGGAGCTCCTTGGTAGTTGAGCTAGGTTTAG